TTCTCTTTTGCTCTTTTTAAAAATCATTTTCTTTAGTTTTTTCCCTTCATTTGTTCTAAATAAATTCATTCATTCACGAAAAAGAAAGTGAACGTGTTAATGTGTGTTAATCCTCTGTGGAGTGAACACAATCGTTTTTAACGCATTAATTCAAGAACAACAAAGTTATTACTCGAGACATTAAGAACTTATTAAGAATAACTTCTGGTATCTGGGGGCTCGTGGCTCAAAAAGTTTGAGAACCGCTGCCTTAAATCATAACAAAGGAGAAATGAAGTGGATTTTTTTGACTGATTTTTTTTTTTTAAATTAAAAACAAACAACAAAAATCATGTGAACATCAGCACATTGTGCCCACAGGTGTCACCAGAGCTGGATAAAAACCAAACAGTTCTCCACGTAGTACAGACGTCTGATTATTTAGGTTTTAGCTTTTTTCTCTACTTGTCTCAGTTCAGCCGACTGTTGGTCAAAGCTGATCACAAACGGCACAAATAGCAGAGATGTTGTTCATTCACAGAGTCTGTTGGTTTTGTTTTATGAGACACAAAGTGAATTTGATGAAGGATTCTGATCTTCAGCTCACATGTGGTTACGCTTAATCATCACAGATTTGTTGAAGTCAAACGTTCAGACTTCAGCGTCCGGCTTTGATAACTGGTTTCATTTTGTTAATTCTTTTTAAACATGCTTTTCCAGAGCTGCTGGGACGGCTACCTGGTGCAAACCTAACCTGGTTCCTCTGAGAACCTTCAAGCGAGGGAGTTACCACTGGTACATTTATCTGAAGCTCCAGCTGTTTTTCCATCATTTCCATTTTCTCCAGCAGTCCTTCATTACCAGGTCTGCATGCCTAAAGAGAGCAGCTGCCAAACCAAACTTGTATTTGCTAATTGTTATTGATTACTAGCTCAGATGAAGCGTTGTGTTTCAGAATTTCTCCAAACATTTCCTCGGAAGCTTCCTGGAAAGACGCGTTGGCCGTAACAACATGGAAAACGGCTAACTCTAAACCCAGTAAATATGCATTCGGTCCATTATTCAACAGTGACGGCAAGAAGGCAAATGATTCAAATGGATTACGAGGCCGTTTCCAAGTGAACGCTGTCTCTGTTTTCTCTGCACTTAGCACCAAAGTATTCGTTCTTTATGAGGCGGTTCCTGAGAAACACGGACCCTCAAACCTCCTAATTAGAATCGAGTCAAAGTCTGGACTCCCTGACTGCTCCACCCACAGCTAACGGTTCTGTGTTGTGTCCAGAGGATACTCCGTCTAACCGGCTGAAGCTCACCTTTGGCATCTGACGCGCCCACGCGGTCCAGCTTGGCCATGCCGCTGCTGTTGGTGCTCGTGGAGTTGGTGCTGTTGTTGGGAGACGACATGGACGGCCGCCTCTGGCTGAGGAAAACGCCCGGCGCCATGGGCTGCGGCCCTCCCGGCGACTTGACCGTTCCAGTGTTGAACTCGTGGTCCGTCAGGCTGCCGTCCTGGGAGTCCAGATTGTGCTCCGGCGAGCTACTGTCCTGAGAGATTTTCGGGGGCTCCTCGATTACTATTGCCTTCTTTTTGGTGCTTTTCTTCTTCTTCTTGGTTTTCTGCTGCTCCTCCTGGTGACATGTGAGTGTCGGCTTGAGTTACATGAACAGGGATGCGCTGCTATGTGAGAGAAACCGAGGTTTGATGAACGTACCTGATGAGAAAGCTTCGCCGCAGCTGCTGCCAGGCCGGTTTCTATGGAGGCCACACGGGCGCCGTCTCTCGCCGGCCGCTCCTGTCGAGGAACTGAAGGTCCAACGCGAGCTGCGATTCAAATCAGGGATTAGATGACATTGAAATCACAGAACTGTGGAGATGTTTCTTTAGCGACGTGAATACCCACCGGTGGGGCTGTACGGAGTGTCGTCACTGCTTTTCCGTTTTTTCGATCTGGACTTGAAAACAGGGTTGTCCTCTTCGGACTCCAGCGACGGGTACACTACAATCAGAACACATGAGTCATGACAGGATTGTGTGTTTTCTGTGCATCGACGGTGGCAGCTTGTGGGACAGATGTTAGGCAGCTGTTGACGGCACAACCTCTCCAGTCTAGAGCTTTAAATACGTGATAACAGGATGATGGAGATGTTTGTGAGAGGAGCTTCGCCCTCCTTCACCTCCAGCATTTCAGAGAGAGAATTTGCAAACAGCTTATTAGGCAGTAATTAAACTGCTTGGATTGTGTGTTAATGGACTGGGAGGGTCCAGACAGCTGGAGTGGGTTCACAAAGAAAGGATCACATACCGGAGTCACACGAAAGAGTGGATTTGGGAAAAACATGAACATGAGCCCCAATCTTCTGCTCTTCAGGAACAGTTCCAGAGCAAATTTACAATTAATGAGCCATATGCGGATTTTAACAGCACCTGTTAGCAGCAGTGAGAACCAGTTTGTTTTCACTGGTGTGCTCCCAGTACGACCCTGAGCTGCCGTCGTCTGCTGGGTTTTGAGCTGCACACTTGTTAAGACCTTAACCCGGTTCAGGACTTTCATGTTGCCATACGTAGAAGGTCCAAGAAAGAAGATAAGATCACTGTTGGTATTCATGATAGACTTTTATACTGTGTGAAATAAATGTTCTGGGAAGTTGACGTGTTTTTGGTTCCAAATGCACGACAAATGTCCCCGAAACCAAAAGACCTGAACAGGGTTCACTAAGAAGCTGTAACACTGATTCCAGAGCAGAGCTGCTGCACATCAGGACTGTGTGACATGTCTGGAATCGATCTGAGAAAACAGAAAGTCTACGACTAAATCTGAATTATTATTATTGTTATTGTCTAATGTATTGATTGTTAAAAGCAGTTTTAATGCTGTTGGTCAAAATAGTGAGTCCACATCATTTCGTAATCCTAAAGACTTTTTAGGAGTTAACGTTGGGATATTAAATTAATAATCATTAAATCATAAACTGTATATATGATGTCCTTTCTACAGGTACAATGTGACAAACAATAACCTATAAAACTGATAAATAATAACAACAAGATAACAATCAATAAATTATGAAACATCTTGAAGACCAAATCAGAATGTCTGTGAAGGTCCTCAGTCCTCCAGGTCGTGGTTGTTCTTAAAGACGTTCCACCTCTCATCCAGGAGGCTTCATCAGCTCTGACTGATGGAGTTCCACATGCTTCTATCCTTAAGGAGCCATTTACACTTGAGAAAACTGACGGGTACACGTATGTGGGACTCCCAACTAGTCAGTCAGAGCTGATGAAGCCTGTTGGAGAGACGTCTTGAAGGAACTCAAGCAGGTCCAGTTGCTACGATTAAACTACGAGAACAACCGGATCAGAACAAGTATTAGTGAAAGGCCTTCAAAAGAGAAGTGATGCTGTCAGATGGTTGCTCACAACAGCCACATGTAACCGAACAGCAGTGCACCACCACTTAGATGTCAAATGGTTCAACACTGCACCACCTTGAAGTCATTCCATGAAGTTGAACAGCAGGTTTCTGCTCTTCTGTAAAACTTAAAATGAGCAGATAGATTTCTACATTGAGTAGTTTTAAACAGACTTATTCTGCCTCAGTATGAAAGTGTTGCACAAATGTTCTGTCATTAACCAGCGATAGTTCAGCTGCTTCTTTCTGCGTCACGTCCTCCTTCCACCTCAAAGCTCCTCTCTTGGATTAAAGGTGACTCATTTGGTCATAGTTTACATTTTTTTCTTCTTCAGAAACTCTTGTGTGATTCTGGCAGCGTGCGTTGGATCATGAACATTTTGCAGGCGTCTGCAGGTTGGAGTCGTCTTGTCAGTATCTGCCATGTGTGAATGTCATCTCCCAACAGCTGTCAGGCAGCCCCGCATCACCACACGCCCTCCTGTCAGGACGAGGCTTCTACTGTGGTAGTCCTGACCAGGTCCATGGCCACGAGCTCCATCTGAGCACCTCCATTTCATCTGACTGAAGAATGTGCTCCGAGAATCCACTGAGCTTCTTCTCATGTCCTTTGGCAAAGTTTATCTTGCAGTTTTTTGTCAGAAAGTAGGCACGCTTGATGTTATGCAGAGCCTTTCACACTGTCTCAGCTCCTGGTAGTGAGTTTAGTTCAGTTGCTGTAGTGAGTCTGAAGCAGCTGCCTCTCTGGTTTTCTGAGCTCAGTTGTGCAAGTTATGGAGGAGGAGTCACTGAGACTGACTAGTGCGACTACGGCTCGTTCTACACCTCCTGATTACTGCCATTGTGTTTTCATAGATTTCGTAGTCAGTAACTGATCTTCTTGTGTCCTTTCCCAACTTTGTGAAGCCTCACAGTCAGATTTTTACAGTTCCTATCCACATCGAGCCATGATGCAGCTCTGATGTTTGTACAATTCTTAATTATGATGGATGGATGGATGGATGGATGGGTGGATGGATGGACGGATGGATGGACGGATGGATGGATGGATGGATGGATGATGGATATGGATGGATGGATGATGGATATGGATGGATGGATGGATGGATGGATGGATGGATGGATGGATGGATGGATGGATGATGGATATGGATGGATGGATGGATGGATGATGGATGGATGGATGGATGATGGATGGATGATGGATGATGGATGGATGGATGGATGGATGGACGGATGGATGGATGGATGGATGATGGATGGATGGATGGATGGATGGATGATGGATATGGATGGATGGATGGATGGATGGATGGATGGATGGATGATGGATGGATGGATGGATGATGGACGGATGGATGGTGGATATGGATGGATGGATGATGGATATGGATGGATGGATGGATGGATGGATGGATGGATGGATGGATGGATGGATGGATGATGGATGGATGGATGGATGGATGGATGGATGGATGATGGATGGATGGATGGATGGATGATGGATGGATGGATGATGGATGGATGGATGATGGATGATGGATGGATGGATGGATGGATGATGGATGGATGGATGATGGATGGATGGATGATGGATGGATGGACGTGTACTCAATGTACTAATTAGAACTGTATTCTCTTTGGTTGCTTGAAGTTTCTCTATCTTAATACAGTCTTTCTAAACTATTTTGCTTTTGATTTTTCAAAGGAAATAAAAGGAACTAATGCAACTATTTGGAGGTAATACAAGCTGAAGTAACTGAAGTGATGCTGTGCAAGCCGAGCAGTGAAGCGCTTCAAACGTAAAACAAGTGGAACCAAAGGAGGGAGGCTGAAACAGGGCTAATTATTCTAGTTTAGTTGGTACAGGAGGATTTACAAAAGAAAAAAACAGAACAAAAACAAAAACGAACAAACCTTGTCTTGTAATTATAACTTACTGTCTTATAATCAGGAGAGAAGAGCTTGTAATTAAGCATCTCTTCTCATCATTGTGCGATCTCATAATTATGCCATTTCAGTGACAGTAAGAGGAGGTCAGGGTGGGTATCAGTTACACTGCACAGGAGAGGACAAGTGTTGGATTTATTTATTTATGTGAACCACACATTTTGGAAAATGTCATTTAAAAGCCATCAGTGGCGTGAACAGAGCTGTACGAGGAAGTGTGACGGCGCAGCATGAGGCCTGTTTTATATTTATTATATGTTTTATTCTGACCAGTGAATCCTGCTGAATGAACTACTCCAGGTTTGTACTGCTGCTGAACAGAGGATGTCCTGACAGCTGATCACTGTCCATGCTGCTTGTGCTGGTTTGTATCAGAAACCTTTAATGTGACTTTTATCAGTAAAGCTCATGAAGGCCGTCGTCCTGCCTCCTGAACCTTTCCTCATATTTACATCTTCTCTCAGCCTGTGTCTCTTACCGTAGTCGGAGTCCTTGAAACATGCGTCCATGTGATCCTGGTCGTCGTCGTAGTCCAGACTCTCGATGCTGCTGCTTTTTCTGGGTTTCTTCGGGAGGCGTTTGGTGGGTCGCTTGCTGTTGCCGCCGCCGCCGCCGCCGGCTCCCCCGCCGGCCTTCTTGCTGGCCTGCGAGCTGTGCGAGTTGCTCTTGGACTGGCTATTGCTTTTGGACTGGCTGTTGCTCCACGGCTGCTGCAAGCTCTCTGAAGACGACAGGTTGGCCATGGACAGCATGCCCTGAATGGCCTCCTGTGTGCTGGGAGATGCAGGTGGCTGACTGTAAGTACGTCAATAAGAAATACACAACAACACAGCCATTACACGGCAGTCAACACACTGGCAGAGGAGAAGAGAAAGAGAGAAATAAGTGAACAAGGCTTTGAAGTCGAGGTGACCGTACGGACTTTCTTGACATGTGAGCTGAATCTGGAGGAGAAAGTGAAACTGTCAGCTGCGAATATTCTCCACGGACCTGTGATCACTTTGAGAAGCCTCTTGGAAATTCACACACCAATTAAGCTATTAGCTGCTGAGCAATCAAGCGCTGCTGTAGCTTCGTTCTTCCTTCAAAGCGCCGAAACAATTTTGAGAAATTAACATTTTTCAGCGATGTTTTCTTTCTTTCTTTCATTGCTCATTTATAGCTTTCAGTGTGGTGGAAATAGACCATCAAGAGCTGAGCGAAACAGCAAACAGCGAAAGGCGAAGGGAAGAGCCCGGAGCCATGCAGCTCGTTTGATAGATTAACGGGGGATGAAACAAACACAGACTTAACACAAACTGCTGACAGGATCTGCATAAACTGTTGCTCCAGTCGCTAGTTGATTTTTCAGCTCTGAGCAAAGTTATAAAATTCAGCTTTTTCATCCAATTACGTTGTCGCTGAGCGGACCGTTTGTTTGTCAGAGACTCGGCCCATTAAAGAGACCTAAAATTCATTTACTGGGAGGAAAGAGGGTCCAGTGGGAGCCGTTTAGAGAGTAATGCTGTGTGTGTTCTGCAACCCAAATGAGTTTAGAAGTGAAAGCTCCGCTGGTGCTGAAAGAAATGGAGTGAAGGAAGCAGAAGGTAACGACGTCAGGGTCGGGTCGGTCTACCTGTTGGCGCTGTAGTCGATGCCGCCCACTTGCTTGCTGGCCTGCAGCAGGTCCAGGATCCCTGCAGCGCTGCCGCCCTTTTTCTTCACCTTAGAGTTGCGACTTTTCGCCTCCGGCTTGGCCTCCGTGTCTATGTGCAGAGTCTCTTCATCTGAGGAGTCCACGTTCTGCTTTTGGAAGAAGAACACAAAAGAGTAATGTGGAACTGATTGAACATGTCTGCCTCCCATGTCCGTGAGATTTGAGATACTAAGACCTCGTCCACACACAGCAGGTATCTCACCAAACAGAGATGTTTCTACCATGTTTCCTGTCGTCTACACGGAAACACAGATTTACAGCATTAAAAAAAACCCGGAGAGAACCCACGCTGCACGGGGAGAACATGGAGACTCCACGCAGGAAGATCCCAGTGCCCTCACCGGGACGTGAACCGGCGACCTTCTAGCTGTGAGGCGCTAACGGTGCTAACCACTGATCCACCTGCAGCCCCCCTTTCTTTATGTTTAACATAAATACGTTAAGAAATACACACCGTGTACATTTAGACACGTGAGGACAAACAGATGATAATACAGGACCTGACTCTAGTTAATATTCCTAAACTGGCTTCATGACAAACAAAGAGACTCGATGAATCCAGGCCGTTTGGACCCCTCAGGGTCTAGATGCTGAGGATCGCTGCCTGCTTTGTCCATCTGCTAATGGGGCCTGGATCTGGTTGGAGATCCGTGTGAGGCTCCGGCTCAGGCTGGGTGAGAATAGCCAGTGAAACAGCAGATCAAGGCTGTGATATGGTTTCCAGTGACCTCTCATTAGTAAACATTAGAGCATCTGGTCTAAGTCTGTTTCTTCCTCCGTTCATACCACAGCTATTCCCCTCATCAGCGTGTGGTGTTCCACAGCTTCCTCCTCACACGTTGAGTTTTTAATTCTACATCAGAGTTTTAAAGGAGCATTGCAGCGTTCCACCGTCTCTTCTCATACATAGAGTCCAAAGCAGTGACTACTTGTTAACCCTCTAAACCCGTTGGTGGGTTTAAAATCGCCGACGTTACACGATTCCTCAAAGCCTCAAGCTGGAAAAATAAAGACAACTTTCCCACGATCCTTAAACTAATCACACCTGGTTCTGTTGGCAAAGTTCACCTCATATCCTACATGTCAAGTTTAAAAATGTCCACAGCACGTGGAGCCCCATTTATCTCCAGCATTGGTAACTCTTGTTGTTGTTGAATACATCTTAAAGCATTTAGCTCATATAGTCCAGTTCTCCATCCTTTGAGCTACTTTGAGCTGCAGGACTTTCTGTTGCAGTGAAAAATGAAAAACTCTTCTAGATTTAGAAGTTTATAAATTACTTAAATAAAAATCTCAACATCGTTATTTTACTATTCAGTCATTTTGTTGAAGCGAGCAGCAGCTTAGAAAATGTGAGTGAATCAGTTACAGTGCTTACAACCCGGCTCTCTGTTGTTTCTGTGAGGTGAAGTGATGGGACACATACCTTGGTCACTAAGGACTGGAACTTTGGCTTTTTGGCTGGCTGGATGGGCTCTCTGATGTCTGACAGAACTGAGGGAAAAATGAAGTCATCACTGAGCAGCATCACAACAACAGTCACGTGAATCTTTAAACACTTTGTCAGAGTGAACATAGACGTTATTATAGTGTCATTATCATCGTTATACGATACATGATACACAACCAACAACAAAGAAGCCGTGGCGGCCTTTTTATTACTGATCGCATAACTATGTCCATTTAATTATTTAAATGTATTTAAAATCACCCTGAACCCCTGCATCGACTGGAGGGGGTTTTCTCTGTCCCGTCCCAGACCCACTAAAAAGCTTCAGTCAGAATCCCAACGCCAGCACAAAGCATCAGCATGTTGTCTTTAAGAGATATTTTACACACTGAACAAACAGCGTAACCAGCATCAACACCATCATCTTTGACTCTTATGGCCAGAAATCAGATCCTTTATTCTGCGTTGTAACGCTGTCTTTCCCACACTGTGATCGCTGTCCCAATCAAGCCCGTCAGCTTTTCTGTTGTCCCACGATAAACACTGAAACTGACTCCCTATGAATCCTGTCACCCACTGGAGTCCTGAGTTTTGAGATATATTTTGTAGTGATAAGTTAGATCTAGCTTCACACATGCAGGTTTGTTGGCGTTAGCTACGTATGCAGGAGGATGACGTCCAATAACAGACCTGCTGTATGAAACGCTGAACTCATCAGGATGTGATTCAGGAAGGAGGACTGTGTTGGGATCCTAACGCAAACCTACTGGGAGCAGGTGGTCAAAAAAACAAACCGTGGGCTCCAGGATTTAGCCAGAGGATGGGATGAAGAATCCAACTGAATGTGGGTTTTTACTAAACCAAACCAAGTCTGACAGGTGGACAGGTTGCTCAGTAGCTGCTGCTAAAAGGATGAAAAGAAAATTCTTTATTGTGCCAAATGTGCAGAGTGTTGATGTATCTGCTGCAACACCTGCTCCCTTTATTTACATGTATTCATGGTGTGTTTTATGAACACTGTGGGAAGACTGGTGGGCACTGAGTGGAGGAACACACACAGAGCAGGAAGCAGCCGGATGAAGAAAACAGGCCAAAGCTCTGATTTAGACACTCAAAGGTCTGGAACAAGTCTAATTTAAAATCTTCTTAATGTACCGAAATATGTCAAAGTGCTTCGTGCGTCAGTGTGAACTACATTTTCACAGCTAAAAAAAAAGCCTGAAGTTCATGAATAAGTTCCAGATCACAGAAAACTTAAATGTATTTTCTTCTGTTTTTGATGTGTTTAAGAGGATCTGGGGAAAGTGTTCAGATTTCTACGCAGCGCTTCGTTTAGATAAACTCAGATAAACTGACTCCACGATACTCACAGGAAAGATCTCTCTTGACCGTGTTCTTTTTCCGTCTGATGGGGAACTCGTCAATCTTCAGCTCCCCTTCGTCTGAGACGTACTCGTACTCGTCTCTCACTGGCTTGCTTTTGTCCTCTTTCAGGTTTTGTAATGATCCAAAAACACTTGAGTTGGTCTGAGGTTTCAGCGTCTTGGAGCTGAAAAGCAAAACCGCAGGACAATAAGCGAGCGCCGAGGCACTCACAGAGAGAAGTCCTTGAATTAGCTCTAATGGCCTCACAGCTCTGTGATCACCGTAACTCACCACAGGAGGAGGCTGGTGGCTCTCCTACCATAAAACATGTACACAGCAATGGCAGCCGCTCCATACATACCTGGGCATCTTCCTGTGAGACATAGTAAAGCTGAATCTGTCTTTATTGCCTGACAGCGGTGTTCTGTCAAATTTGCACTCCTCCTCCATTTTCAGCAGCGAGTCTGGTTTACTGTTCTGCAACGTCCCAAAGAAAAGAGCGTCAATAACAATAATAATAATAATAATAATTAAATCAGCATGACGTCCAGCTTTTAAAAGCTGTATTAGAAGTTTTATAAAAGGTTTAAAGGATTAAGCACAACGTAAAAGAGCGTTTTAGCCTCTTTAGCTCATTGTTTTGGTTCAACTCCACTTTTCATAATTATTATTGTTTGTTTTTTTACCGTAATGTCTGGACTAGAAGCTGCTACTTTATTCACACGCTTTGAACACTGCAGCTTAAACAACGATGCGGCTAATTTATGGATTTCTACGAATTTGACTCGAGATGAAAGTGACGCTGAGAGCGACGACGACAGAGAGACTGAGGAAGTGATGAAGTGATTCTGAGGCTGAAGAAGACGACTTTAGTGGTTTTAGTGCAGGAGGAAGATGAAGATAGCCATCAGTGACTTTTCCTGGAAGCTGCTGGAGTTTTATTTTCTTAACCAGTCGTGTTACAGGAAGTGTTCAGAAGGAAGCATTTACATATTTGTGTGTGTTACTGGTACGTATTTAATTAAAAGTTAAAAAAAATATTTGTGTAAATATCTCATGTTACCACGTGGACACCTGCAGCCTGTATATGAACACACCTGGTTTTCTTCTTAAAGTTAGTGGGTGGGGCTTATATTCAGGTGCCTCAATAGGTAAATGAAAAAAGCCTCCACTAGTACCTGCTAGCAACCCGCTAGTTGTTAGAAGAACTAAAGAGCCTGAGAGGTTGGTGGAGACCAAAACAGAGCTATTCATAAAATGGAATGAAACACGAGTTCAAATAAACGATGTTAGAAAACATGTGAGTGACTTTATGAGGTGGTAAAAAGTCCCTGTTGTGTTTACAGGCCTGAAGATTTATAGGACTTATATAGATTTAACATAGATTTAATATAGATTTAACATAGATTTAATATAGATTTAATATAGATTTAATATAGATTTAATATAGAGTTATAGTTCTGTATATTAGTTTGTTACTGACACTAATCTAATTCCTCAGTACAAATTCAGATTACAACAATTTAATGAACCTTTATAAACCTCTTCAAGCAAAAATTTAATGGATTGTATTAAACTTTTAAAATCAGTTCTGGTTCTGGCTCCAGAACCCCCAAAGCTTTTGGGGTGAATCAGGTTTCAGGCTCGTCTTCATTTGTGACTTTTCTTATCTTGTGCTTCATAACAGAGTATAGCAGAGTACTATACTCTGTTATGAAGTACAAGATAACAGAGTACAGCAGAGTACGATAATAATGAACATCACATGTTAGTCTTTTGCCATCAAATAGACGCTAAAGAATCTGCTTTAGTTTCATAAAGTTCCTTCTTGTTTTTAGTATCTTGACTAAAAAAATCCTACATTTAAATAAATAATCAGTAAACTGTGGCCTGTCTTTCCCTCCTATCAGCTCTTTTTGAACACTAAAACCTCTCAGACCTCTCAAACCAGAGCGCTCATGTCAGGCTCACACATGACGGCCGATCTGTTTGTAATTTGACTCAGAAATGAAACGACTGAGACTAAAAGAAAGTCTCAGAATTAATTGTCTCATCAGCTCTTCAAACAAATACGTAGGCGTTAAATGAGCATCGTGGTGGTAATCCCCACGGCTCGGATTCACTCGGGCCGTTTTCTGACCCACTTTACACCAACTCCTCCATCCTGGGAGGAATGCAAAGCGGTCAGCGCTGAGCACACTGTGTAATTAACTGAGATCTAAGAACGCTCATTTTTAAATATTCACTCCTCCACGGTTTTGTTGGCAAAGTTAAAGACATGAGACGGTGCAGTGGAACCTCAAACTAAAGTTTCACGTCGTGTCGGTTCATTTTTTAAAATCGACGCTAACACGGATTAATGTAACGGCACACGGAGCCGGAGGAGCTGTGAGCCTTTGGTCTCCTGTGACCTTGGTAAACATCTCACAGGGTTCCTTCTCCATCTGTAAATGTTTGGCCCGACGTGAAGGAGCAGTTGGATGGAGATCCTTGGAGGCTGCAGACATTCCACAGCAGTTTGGCATTGAGTTTTCCATCAAAGCAAAGCCCTCTAATGTCTTCCGTTCAACAAAATGACTCTTTTGTTCCAAAAAGCTTCCCCTGTTGTTCAGCAGTGATCGTACAACAAACTCTCTTCTCTGTTTTAGGATGAGAGCATGTGTAAATACTTAAATGGAGCGCGCTGGACATGGACGTGGTGGAGCTCCATTAGGTAAACTGGATGTTTCTGGAGCAGCTCTGATGAGCTGCAGGCCTCAAATGTGCGACTTGGGCCACATCATTATTTTTCCTGATTGCTTTGAAGTGAAGTGTGCAAATCACTTCTGGACGATCTCGTGGGTTTTTCTGTTTTTTCTGTTCAGCTGCTCAGCTTGTAACCTTCACGAAGTCTTTTCTAAAGAACACCAAGCCTTGGGTTTGTTTTAACTTTGAACAGATTGAGATACTATTTACTTTGGCCCGTAACAAGCAGCCATTAGTTAGAAATCATGACAGAAGGTGTCAGCTGAAATGATCTTACCTTATACTTCCATTTTGCTTCAGTCTTGTTTTTATTCTGCTCTCTGATTTCAAACTTCTCCATATTGTTCTGCTTTGATATTTCCTTCTCTGACATGCTTAGAACATTCTTAACAGCCTGCAAAATGGAAGTATTTAAAGAAAGACACAATTATTAAGGAAAGAACCCTTTTAAGAGGAGCCATGCTGCCCCACAAAGGCAGAGAGCTGTAACTACAGCAGCAGCCACGTGCAGGAAAACTGCATTTACTGGACTGGGTGGCAGATTTATGTGTAAAAATGTGGTGCTGATCATTAATCATTGCCACAGAACCGAGATAGAGCCCAAAAAAAACCTTTAAATACTTATGTAATGTCTACAAATATAACATGGAGTTATTTCTGTCAGTTCTTTGGTACATCTGAACTAATGACCAAGGTTAATGAATAATGTTCAAACATATTTAAATATGATGTTCAACCACATCAAATTATAGAAATTCAAGAGTCAGAGGCTGCAGAGAAGGCAGCTAGCTTCTCTGCTAGCTAGGCTAATTAGCATTTAGCAGAACTGGGGTTACTTTTTCTCTTCAGTTTCATTTTAGGTTTTTATTGCATTTTTTATGTGGGGGGAAAAGACACAAGTCAAAATAAACTACTGAGATTTCAAGAACATCAAAATGTCATTTTTTTAAATTCCAAAAAACACGGGAAAATTAGTAAATTAGTGCTAGCTATTTCACTAGCTAGCTCCCGTTAGTCAGAGCACATTGATTGCGGTTTGGTTTATTCTTTTGTTTTGTGGCTCTTATGACATTTCTATGCCTACAAATTGCCCATTTAGTTGTATAACAACTGATTGTGGTGTCAGCGTGGACCAGACGTGTAGTTACTGCGTTCTGCCTTTGCAGGACAAGATGGTGAGCCTTCGTCACTCTGCTTAAATCTGACAAGCTTTCTGCTGAAAGCGAAGCATACTGGCTCAGAAAGAGAGAAAACTACGGCTACAAACAAGAATTCCACAAAATAAGACTCATGCTAACGCCGCCATCTGCTCACCTTCGTCTTCTTCGGCTGGTCCATTTTACTCAAGATGTCCTTGGCGTGGGACTCGAGCGCGGCAAAGCTGGAGGGTTTGGGAGGCGGCGACAATTCCTTCGCCTTCTTCGCTTTCTTCTTTCCTCCTTCCTTAACCTTCGGCATCTTGGGAGGCTTGGGGGCCTTGGGCATCTTCGGGGGTTTGGGAGGCTTGGGAGGCTTGGGGGGTTTGGAAGCTTTCTTTCTGGATTTCTCTCTGCTGGGCGACGGGACGTGTGCCGGGGAAACGGGCTCCTCCGGGTCGGAGTGGGTGGACGGTGGTTCCTCCACTGGGACCTTGATGGCGGGCTCGCTCTTGATGGCTTTTGTTGCGTTCTAGAAGTGAAAGCGGAGAACTGTGATGTTAGCTTTGATTGAATACTGACCGTCAGCAGCAGCATTAGCTTCTCTTCATTGGCTCCCTGTAAAATCCAGAAAAGGATTTAAATCCCCTCCCTGACATACAAACCCCCCAATCCAGGCTTCATCATGTCTGAAATGGTACCACATGGTTCTGGTACAGCAGGTGACCCGACTGATGCATTTCGGACCTGCTCTCACCAACCTCCTCTGTGTTTATTGTTCTTTTAATTGTTCCCTGTAAAGCTGTGAACAGTGACGAGTCGGACCGTTCATGTCTGTGTCGCCCGGCACAACGAGATCAGAGGTTTTTCTTCCCACTGATGCCAAAGTGTGTCTCAGAAGAATCTGTCTGCATTTGTTGGGTTTCTCTTCACACATAAGAAGACTTAGATTGTGAATTAGGGCTATACGAATAAAAATAAACTTAAATAAATTGAAGCCCAACTAACGAAGAGTAACTGATCAATTAAAACAATCATAATGTTAAGTCATTTTTAAAATAAAAAAATAACAAAGATTCAGTGATTTACTGACTTGTGGAGTCTTCACCAGACTGTTGGGATCTCTGATGTTTTATGGGTTCAGTCTCGGTGAGACTCACTGATGCTGAACGCTGTTGTTCACAGAGTTGGAAACTTTGGCCATTACTTCCATTAGCTTCTGTTTCTGAACTTTATTTAAGTTAAAAACCAGCTGTGCATTGTTTCTTGCAGTGTTTTTGGTTTAAGGACGCTCTGCCAGATGAACCAGGCCGATGAAGGCTCACTGGGGTTGATGGTGACGTTAGCTGTAACTCTGCTGGTAAAAGTGCAACAAGCCCTGTTCAGAGTTTATTTTTCTGACGAGCATTTAATTTTTCAGTTTCATGAGCAAAAAAAGGAAAAGAAGAAAACCTTTTGGCCTTAATACTTTAGTTGGTGTTTTCCTCTGATGACTTTGTGGCTAAAACTCGACTTTGTACGACTTTATTGGGCTAAAGTGTGTTCTGTGGTGACACTAGAAGAAGAGATGAATGCACACATTTAACATTTGAGAGTTCATGGAGTAAAATGGAAAGTGTTCATCCTCTGAAAACCATGAATATTCCATTTATTTGGGCACTTTTCATAGAAATCTGGCCACTAGTGATCAAACTGTGATGCTATTCAGGGTCACAGAGGCTTGACTGGATCCTTTGGGAACTTAAATGCCAAAATGTCATAAAAATACCTCTGACAGTCTGATCTCTTTGGCAAGATCCTTAATGAGCTGTGATGGTTTCATGTTCTCTGGAAGCTCATCTTCATGTTCCAGGAGGGCCTGTTAAAGGAAAGCAAACACATCTGTTAGAATCACATCAGCAGACAGCGGACAGCGGCTGAACCTGCACTGACGTGTTCATACCTGCTTCTTAGTCCAAGCTCTGAAAGCTCCATTGATGATTTTGGCACCATGAATCAGGTATGGAGCTGGTTGCTTGTTTGCTTTATGTAAACCTACGGAGGAAGAAATGCAAATGTTAGCATTGTATGAATCGTGACTTTTAAACTCTGACAAATCAGAACCATTAGTATTTAAAAAATAAAACACAAACTACAGCGTGCAGCAGATTTACAGGATGTAACCAAAGAAAGCTTCACAAACAGCAGAACAGATGAGCTGTTGTTATAAGAGCCTCAGAGTGAAGACGTGTGAGCAGCTCGGTGTATTTACACAAACTGTCCTGTTCCCTCCATGGACCAGAGCTGATCCACAACAAAACAAGGGACTTGTTAACAGTTCTTGAGGGACAAAGTAAACTTCAGCTCACTGTGCATCAGCTACAACACCAAAATGTCAAGTTACAGTAAATACGGTGAATATCAGCTATTAGCAGCACAACACAATGAGGCTACACAGTCTGTACTGGTGTTAGCTGCTGTACACAGGACTGCTTCTATATATTATAGCCTATTCGCTACATGTTTTTGAACTCAATCTGAGCCTTGCTAAAAAACAATCACGTACTTTGTTTATATATATAAAACTTTGCAGCACCTGTAATTAAAAAAACCTCCGACTGTCACATGATTATGATGCATCCAAGTGTAACTGAACATTATCTCCCATCTCTGTCTCCTCCTGTTTAGCTTCTGGCCCTTTACTATTGGCCACAGACTGTACATAAAGATCTGACAGCTTCCCACAAACGAAGCCAAAGCGTCTGGATCGCCCCCTTGTGGCTGCTTGCAGTACTGTCCATAGACCCCGCCCCCTTTATGTCTGTGAATCTGATATGAACTAAAGCACAACAGTACAAATAAGTTCTCCCCAAATATGGTTTCTGTCATATGAACTACTTGTTAGCATGCTGATGTTCATGGTTCAGACTTGTTGGATTAGTTATGATTTCATGCTGTTATCAGAGCGTTTGTCACCGTGATTAACAGCCGGACCGATTCAGTTACACTCAACTGTTTTTATAATGTACAATAAATTCACAACACATGTCATGTCACAGCATTTCACAAATCTGAATAGAGAAACCCAACAAATCCAAAGTTTTCTTTGAATTCCCTTTGAGCAAGCGCCTGTCGACAGCTGGAGTGAACAACAAACATCCCCTTAACTGGGAAGGACAAGAGAACTCAGCCAGAACCAGAGAACCAGAGAACCAGAGAACCAGAGAACCAGGCCCAGGCAGGGCGGCTCGCTGCCTCCACTGGTCGGGGTGAGGATGAGCTGCTGAGGAACCTGCTGATGGACTGCTGCTATGATGAACCATCTGATTCACTGTCACCTGTTAGAAACCACTAAACTGAGGGTTTTTAAATGAACAGGACTAAATGACAATTCAAAGCAGTCTGGGGGGAAGTTCAGTTTATGTTTTGAGGCCTAACTTAAATACCACGCCCAGCCTCGGGGTACCTGAACGCAACATGAAATGCCGATCCATCTCACGCAGCTACAGGAAAGCGGCTTCACTGGGAAATGAATTATTCATTTACAATAAAACGTTGATTCTGTAATAAAGGTGATGGTTGACCAAAAACAAATTGGAGGTAGCGTAGAACTTAAATGAAGAACGAGCTCGACCAAACCTACACGATACCAACTTACCTACCAAAATAAAAGCAGCAAAATTAAACACAAAGTCCAGCCTCCCTGTCTGACTTAAAACAGGAGAAAACAGTTGAAACACAAAGGCAGCAGCTCACTCCAGTCATCTTTGGATCTACTTTAAATCCTTACTAGCTAGCAAGCTAAGAGCAGCTGGTAATGCAGCTAGCTACAAGCTAAACCTGGACCTCTATAACAGCCAGCATGGCTTCATACAGCCCCGTTATTCTTTGGAAATAATGCACAGAGACAATCATCGTTACTCCCCAGCGTCTAATCTGGAGGTTTAGGTGACGAATAAAGGATTGTGGAGAGTGAGAGTGTTTTCGTCTGCTGTCAGTCACTCAAACACGAATCCAATGAAGTCAAAAGGCTGCTTCTTCCTCAACAGTTCCTGATCCTGCAATAGCAGCTGGAACATGTTTGAACCTTCATCACTCCAACACTGAAATGCATCTCACAAAGGCTTGGTGACGGAGAGGCTGGCTTTCTCTCACTACATCTGAAGTTCTTCTAATCCAGCATCGTGTCACGATTGCAGTGAAGTCAGGAAAAGTAAAACAAACAGAAGGTTGAACAGATTAAAAGGTGTAATGTGTATTTGATCAGGCATCATTAAAAAGTTCAAACGAGGCTGATATCAAGGGTCTAAACCAACTAAACACTGTGTATAACAGTTGATGGACCTTTAACTATTTCAGACTTGGGATGAGGCTCTGAATGGAAATGAACCGTCAGCGCTCTCTGCTGGACAAACTGTCACAGCCGATGTATCAGCTGGTGTATCTGCACTTAGATACCACCCAGCTGTAACCGCAACGTCCACCATCCATACTCCTTCAGAAGGTTTGATGACTTACCGAACATGACTCAGCGTTTTGGAAAAGTCTTATTGCTGCAGACTGATTTATGTCACATTATGCAAATTCAGACGGAAAACAAGTCTTAAAAGCAAACCGTCCCGTCAAGAGCAGCGGATCCACGACCACAACAGGAAGTCATTCATAAGAGCAGCAGCAAAAGGAATAATGCTGTAATAATAATAATAATAATAATAATAATCATAATAATGATAATAATGATAATAATGGTATATTAATGGCGTGCACCACACACAACAGCAATCTGGTTTTATCAACACACACACACACACACACACACACAGAAAACAGTGGAAACATAAACAGTTGGCCCAGTCCAGCTGAGGGGAGTTTAAACACAGGCTTGTAATGGAGCAAGTGATTCTAGCTGGGCCAAACCTTTTGAAGCTAATCATCTGTGAACTCTGCGATTCACCGATTTAATGACTGAAATAATATGAAAGCATCCAGCTCCTCATCTGCGCGGCAGCCGTACGCTGAACGTCGGCCTGGAAAAAAAAAGGCCTTTCTGACAGTGTTTGTGTTTTCTCTGGGCTTCGTGCATTCCTCCAGAGAAATGGAGAGTTAAATGAGGATGTAAGTTTACATTAAAATACCACACATTAGACAAAAAAAAGGAAATCTATAAATACATGGGAGTGATTTAGAAGGTCACCTTTGAAGCGCTCCAGGAGGTGGCGTCCCACATACCAGCACGCCGTCTCAAAGTTGGGAAAAGGGGTGAGAGTCTTGACCTTCAGCCGCTTCTCGATTTCATACGCTCTGAGGAGAACAAGCCGAGATGTTCCAGCTAAACAACGTCATGCGTTACCAACAAACCATGTCATTCACAAGGTATTTCTAAATGAGGGGGAATTCATAAACAGATCTGGTGGAATATGGAGCGAAACATGAGATGAAGATCCAGTGGAAACTCGTGAGTAACATCCGCCAAAGCCTCAAGTCGCTCTAAATCCCCCCAAATTAGGACATGAGAGTCTGCAGGAGGCTCCGAGGATCAGAGCGATCAAAAGGAAACGACACACAGGATGAATGTGTAATAAAACAAACCTCATCTGCATCTCCACGCTCAGGTTGTGAACAAAGTGTCCAGAAAACGCCAGGCAGTCGACCGGAGTGAGGATTGCATTGATCCAGCCTGAGGAGAGCAGAAAACCGGATTCATGTCAAAATATTGATCTGGAAAGAAAATCATATTCACCTTAGACTGACTTTATAACCGCAGAGCTGTTACAGCAGCAACGTTCAACAAAGGAGGCAAATAAAGGAAAACATAGAAAACATAACATAGAAAAATGAAGTGCTGCTTTTGACTTGTAGTCGTTCTACGTCTGCTTTATTCTATAGAACCAAACAGCTTTTAAAACACTTCCTGTACATTTATCTTCTGAAGCCTTTAGATTCAGCTGACTGATGATCAGACTGATCTGAAGCTGACATACGCAGGACACAAAACACACTTCCTGTAACTAGTCTGAGCTTTCAGAGTCCCTCCTGTCACACATTCAGCCTGATTAACGTCTACTGATGGAAACCTTTATTATTAATAACTCGCATTGGACCTGATGATGCGTTCAAGTCAAATCCTGCTTGACTGAGAAAAAAGCTCCCAAAGTGGGAAAACACCAGTTTAACTTTCTGAACTTGAAGCAGTAGTAGTTGTTCTGTTTGCTCATTTATTTTTAATCCAGAGTAAAGTCCTGCTCCTCTCTGGAAACAGAACCACTGTGGCGACAAGGACAGAACTCAGAAATGCCTTTTGCAGCACAACAAAGTTATAACGTCATAAACAGTAAGCAACAAAGTGCTCACATGTGGTACCAATACTGGGGGAAATGGCGGCTCCACAGGCTCTATATATATATGTATGTACATATGTATATATTTATATTTATATGTATATAACCATTTGTAAACACAGCCTGCAGGTTGGTTCATTTTTGTAACAGGACTGTTGGTTGCAGCTGAGTCAGTCACGGCTCCTGAGTTGCAGGGACGAGCGCAGAAGTTTTAGTTTTTTACAGAATCTGATTAAAGAGAAGAATTATATTTTTGCAGATTTTTTTTTTAATGCATCATGTTGGATGATTTTAGGATCAGGTTTAGTTACAAAAGGACCAGATATCACAGGAGCATTTCAGGTACAAATGTGATGATTCTCTCTGTTTTTATAAATTCTGACTCTGATAAATGGAAGAATTTTGGTGGTTTTTTCAATAGACTGAAGGCCTTTCACATCCGGGGTTCAGAGGGTTAATGCACCCTGAATGCACCACAGCTCAAAAGACAATGATATTAAATTTACAGTTAAATAAAATACTGAACAGGAGCAAATGGTTTCCTCCTGGCACCACTAACTGACTCAGCTTGACTTTCTGTCTTCATGTTTGCAGCTCCAGAGCCATCAGGGCTGCAGAGGTTCTGACCTGACGGGATGAACAGGGTCTGGCCTTGCTTCAGGGTGCATTTGTAACACTTGTCCACCTGGTCGGCGAAGAACATTTCGCTGTGATTGGACGACGACCTCCAGCGCTCGTACAGAGACAGGTTGGCCGACGTGGGCTTGATGAGGAAGAAGATCTTCTCTCCCTGCAAACAACATTCAACAACATCATCATCATCATCACGGTAATGCCAGAGCAGGAGGAGGGCAGCGTATCGTGACTCAGCACACTGGGCCGGACCAGAAGTGAGACGGACCTTTAGGACGTGGTACCAGACGGAGGCACCGCCGCACTCGATGTGGAAGTCTGTGTAGCTGTCTTTCACGCAGATCAGACAGTATTTGGTGACTTTGGGCTTCCCGAGCAGAGCGTCATCAGGCCAGTAGTTTTCTACCCAAGACAGCCGCCGCACGATCTGTGGACTCTCCACGATGCTGTTCATCCTGTCCCAGACAAACAGAAAAAGAAATCAGCACCACCAGTTTTCCACCAGACTGGCATCTTTATAAACCGCTGGAGAGCTTTTTCAGAGCTTCAGCAGCGTCAGACAGAGAGCTGGTACCTTGTGTCGGAGAACTCCAGGTTGATGACGTTCAACACTTTCTTTCTGTTTGTGCTGTAGTAATAGTCCACAAACTCTTTCAGCTTCATCTTGCTGTCGGTCTGTTTGGTGACGTCGACGACGTCCACGCCGACGTCAGGACCTGAGACACCAGACAGAAGACGGGATGAAAACAAGCTGAGGGGAAACTAACAAGCTAAACATTTTCCTTAGACAGCAAACTGTTTAGCAAGAGATGTCTGCACCAGGATGCTGCTGATGTGTGACCTCATCATGGAGCAGCACAGAGGACACATACGCCCCCTACTGACCAGGAACAGAAGAGCACATCTGACAAATAAAAACAACTATTGGACGGTTTTTATCTACCACACAACCATCGTCTCTAGTGCAGACGGTCAGGGTGTGAGGAAGCTTTCACATGTTTATTACATCTGCATGTGCTGCACTTTGCTGCACTTTACTGCACTTTGCTGCACTTTGCTGCACTTTGCTGCACTTTACTGCACTTTACTGCACTTTGCTGCACTGGCCAGCTTCAATCTGCTTTGGAATGAAGACTTTCTCTGCATACTTTGGAAAAGTATGAAAACCTTTCAGAAGAGGTCGGCTTTGCAAATTGAGCGTCTGCATGTTTTCAATCATCACAACACGACAGAGAATATAATCATGAGAATGTTTCCTGGTCTGTGCTACCACCTGGTTTGAAATCCTTAGAAACTATAACACACCAGCCTTACAGCCACGTCAGCTGAAATAGTTTCTCATATGTCTTGACATCATCTCAAAACTTTTCACGACGAAACAAAAGACTTTTGAAGACATTTCTGCTCATGAAGATGAGCAGTAGTGAAAGCAGAGTGTTAATAGTTGCAGCAGAGCGGCAGTAAAGATGGTAAACGTTCATCCTGTTGGTAATTCTGGGCTTCTGTTGTTACTGCACCTCACACTGTAGCGCAGGTGGAGCAGGAAGTGATGGATGGACTGAACCCCCTAAATCACCTTCTGTAAAACTACAACGCAGCCAAAACATACGACATGAAAACCAAATCAAGACCATGATCTGAAACATTAGGATGACGTACATCAGCTGGAGATGTTTCTGTGTGAAAAAACCTCCAGAACACACATTGTTCTACAACATAGATAAAACCACCCAGTGGTCCTGACGTGTTCACAGGCTCCCATTAAAGGAGGAAAAAACAAAGCAGCCGTCACTGAAATGAGCTGAAACTGACAAAAGTAATAATAAATAAAAATGTGATGAACATCATGACGTTGGTTTGAAATGTGGTTCAACAGAAATATTAAAAAACAAACAAACAAACAAACAAACAAACAAACACTGCTCATCAGCAACGTGCTCTAATTTGTCCGGGACAGTTTTTTTTATTCTTCTTTTCACCCACAATTCAAAAGTAATGTTTTATTTCACTAAATTATAATTTAGCTAATTTGTATTTATGGTGACTTTTTTCAGTTTCTAGTTATTTGAGTGGCTGCTGTGACTTTTCTTTAATGGAAATGTGTGAACACAGTGACTGTATGTCAGCATTGTGGTAAATAAAATGTATGTGATCTAATCTGATTAAACTGCCTCTGAAGCAAATATTTAAATGCATTTAATTAAGGATCATTTATTAAATCAGCTCATTAGTTCAAATGAGAAAGAAATCAGCAATAAGAGCAGCTTGTTTGATCACCAGGATGCAGCATTTAATTCCTTTTTAATGTTCTGTTCAAAGTGATTAATATGTATTATTATAGTCAGTGCTAAAAGGAGCAAAATGAAGGATTTATGAAGCAAACATCTGCTGCAGTCTGACTAAGAGCCCTGGACATCCTCCTACTTCTAGCAGAAGCAGTGAGGTGGGAATGTGTGACTTTATTAAACAGCAGCAGCGTCCACACTGTGTCCACACTGAGGGAGGAGCTGAGCACCATCAGCAGCAGCTTCATTAAATATTTACAGTTTCTGACATGTCATTGTGATCTAACGTCGCCTGATTAACCTCAATGGTTTTCTAGAGGCAGGCAGAGCTGTGGTGAAATCACAGGAACAAAGCAGCTCCAGAACCTCTCAGCATAAATCAGACTGTAGCTTCCTCTAAACAGTCACAGTGTTCCTGTGCATCAGGTGGATCAGCACAGAGAGGTCTCAGGTCTGCTGCCTGAATGCAATCATAGTTAAAGGAGTGATATTACTGTGAGGATGGAGCTCATCTCATCAGTTCAGTAAATAAAAACAGGGTGATGAAAACACACAGCTCCCTGCAGTGAGTCTGGTCTGCACATCTGGCCTTTGGTACGTCATCTTCAACTTTAAATTCAAATGTTGCTTGTTTAAAATGATCAAAAGGTCAAGAAAGTTCATAAATGAGAAAAACAAAAAGAGAATCTTAACATGTGGCTCTTTAGACTGACGTAATGGGACACTTCAGACGTGAAAGAAACCTCGACAGCTCTTTTTAAAAAACATAAAGAAAAAATGTTATTCTTGACCATCTACATACACTGAAAACAGTCGTTTTTTCCTGGAACTGCTTTCTAGAAATAGTCCCTGTTCCTACTGTACTGACCTCCTCACAAATCCTGACTTAATCCCCGACTGTAAGATTAATTAAAGCTGTCGTTGTGCTAGCTGTGTTAGCGACGGTAGCAGAATAAGAAACAGGCAGCAGCATCCAAACCAGCATCCCATTGATCTTATCAATAGATAGATAGATAGATAGATAGATAGATAGATAGATAGAT